GGGAACCTTCCCAGAAAGATGTTATTAATTATTCCTGTTGTATACCCCAGAGTAGTCTTCACTGTCTCACCAGAGCCCCTAGTGCACACTGTGGTGACTAGAAATCAGTCGCTCACCTCTGCTGCTGGAGGTAGGCTTAGCCACCTGAAGGGCCGTATTGGATTCCCAACCGCATCTCCAGGGCCGAGCAACAGGAAGTGGCCCACAGCAGGCATCAGATCAATGGTGATAAAAACTCAATTTTTTTTTTTTTTTTGACAGGCAGAGTTAGACAGCGAGAAAGAGAGACAGAGAAAAAAGTCTTCCTTTTCCGTTGGTTCACCCCCCAAATGGCTGCTATGGCCAGCGCTGATCCAAAGCCAGGAGCCAGGTGCTTCCTCCTGGTCTCCCATGCAGGTACAGGGCCCAAGCACTTGGGCCATCCTCCACTGCACTCCTGGGCCACAGCAGAGAGCTGGACTGGAAGAGGAGCAACCGGGACAGAATCCGGCGCCCTGACCGGGACTAGAACCTGGGGTGCCAGCGCCGCAGGCGGAGGATTAGCCTAGTAAGCCGCAGCGCCGGCAGATAAAAACTCAATTAAAAGGGCTGGTGTTGTGCCATCATGAGTAAAGCCGCAGCCTGCAACGCCAGCATCCCATATGGGAACAATTCAAGTCCCAGCTGCTCCAGTTCCCACTCAGCTTACTGTTACTGCACCTGGGAAAGCAGTGGAGGCTGGCTCAAGTGCTTGGGCTCCACACCCACATGGGAGACCAGGACGAGGCTCCTGGCTCCTGGTTTTGGACTGGCCCAGATATAGCCATTGCAGCCACTTGGGGAGTGAACCAGCAAATAGAAGACCCCCCTCTCCCTCCCTCCCTCTGTCCCTCCCTCTCTCCCTCCCTCCCTCCTCCTCCTTCTTCTTCTCTCTCTCTCTCTCTCTCTCCCTCCCTCCCTCCCTCCCCCTCCTCCCCCTCCTCCCCCTCCCCCTCCCCCTCCTCCTTCTTCTTCTTCTTCTCTCTCTCTCTCTCTAACTCTGCCTTTCAAATAAATATTTTTTAAAAAAGAACTCAATAAAAAGTAGAGTTAGATTTACAGATAGAATTAATTGCTGGTGGTTTTTGTCTCTAGTTCAGGCTTACAGACCTTAGCTTATCTTCCTCCTTCCTTCCCAGTTTCAAATGCAAGTTCCCTAATACAGTGTGAGAACAAACATGCTGATTAAATTCTCTGAGTTAGAAAAGCTGCTTATCTCGCTGGAGGGAATAAAGTAAGAAATAAAACTTTAATCTGTACATGAGATACAGAAACTCTTCACTAATGAAGAAGTAATTTAAAAGAATCTAACTTCATTTAATTCATCCACAGAAATTAATGATTGTGAGAGGAGAGTAGGAGGCTATTTCTGAAATACGCTATTTCCAGCATTCATGGACAGAAAGCGTGGAGTAGGTGTTGGGCACAGTGGTTAGGGCAACTCTCGGGATGCCCACATTCCTTATTACAGCCCAGATCTGAATCCCGATTCCATTCCTGATCCTAGTTCCTGCTAATAATCATCTGAGAGAGAGCAAATAATGGCTCAAATAGTTGGATACCTGCCACCTAGATGGAAAACCCTGAGTTCTAGCACCAGGCTTTGTGCTGGCCCACATCAGCCTTTTGGGCATCTGGAAAGTGAACCAGTGAGTGGCAGATCTCTATCTATCTCTGTCTCTGTCTCTCTCCCTCTCCGTCTCTCTTTCAAATAAACAATAAAAATAAAGGTTTGATTATATGCTTTTGAAAAAACTCATTCTTTTACATAAAGAAAATATAAATTGAAACTAAATGGATGTATACACTAACTAAAGAAACTGGAAGGGTTACATTAATAAAGAACCAAGTAAAATTTAAAATAAAATCATTATTAGAGATACCTATGGACCTATTCAAATGATAAAATAGCAGTTCAACGGACATTTTACAATTCAGAAGTTGTATACACCTAGTAACATATCCTCAAAATTCATAAAACTAAAATTGGATATAGAATATATTTTTACATTTTAAGCATTTAACAAAATAGACAAAATTCTAGGTTATAACCACGTATGAACGTAACACAAACAACAAAAAAATTGTATGTTCTGAACACAGTAGAATTAGATATCGATATCAATATCAAAGACAAATTAAAAATCTGTCAAGTGCTTGAATATTAAGAAACACATGACTTGGTAATCAGTGTGTCACAGAATAAATTACAATGAAAGTTAGAAAATATTTGAATTCAGTAACTATGAAAAAAGTGACATTTCCAAACTTAGGGGATATACTTTAAGTAGATGGTCTACAATCAGTAAAGCCAGAAAGAAAAATATTTAAATACTAAAAAGGAAGAAATAAAACTGGCATTATCACCACTATATTCCTAAAGCTGTACATATGAAATCTGTATTCATTAAATTTCTTTAAAAAAAAAAAACAAAACTGGCAGAAATATCTACGCTGAAAATCCAAAAGAATCTACAGAGAAACTTTTAGAATTAATATCCAGTTGGGACACTAGACTTAACAAAAATCAATAGAATTTCCACATAAATGCAACAACAAAGCAGAAAAATGAAATTGATAAATACCTTTATAGTTACGTTAAGACACTAAATGTCAAGAAATCCATCTAAAGATTTCTTACTAACAACTACCACACACTACTGAGAGAATTAAATATTAATTAAACAACATGGAGTTTTGGATTCAATTCATGGATTGTTAATAAGTTGGAAAAACCAATATTGTTATCATGTCATCTCTCCCCTAACCCACCTATAAAATCACTACAGTCCCAGTGACATTGGTCACGTAGATGTACATGTAAACTGACAAACTGATTACAAAATTCAAGTAGAAAGGCAAAGGAGTAAAAATAATTGAGATCATCTTGAAGAAAAATGTGAAGGATTTACACTACCACATAAACAGTTTAAAGCTGCAGAAGAGATCAAAATGGGGTAACAGAGACTAACAGAACAATTAGGACAGACAGAAATCAAGTCGCAAGTATACAGTTGCCTGATTTACATAAATGAGCACTGCCACTTGGCAGGGAGACGATGTCACCGTAGACCAGATAAATAACTTGTGGTGTGGTAGGGTAATGAAATCCTGCACGACAACGTTGAAGTGTGGACTTCTGCTACTCACATCAACCGAGTGAACCTCACAGACACAAGGCTGAAGGCAGGTGTTTATCTGGTCAAAATCAAGCAAAAATTCACCTACAACAGAGGTCAAGTAGTGGTGACCTTTGTGGGGAGAGGGAGGTTACTGACTGAGAAAGACAGGAATTACTGTATTTCCATCTGGATGATGGTCTCATGAGTGGAACACCTGTGTAAAAACCCAAACTTAACAATGAAGATTTCTGCATTTCACATAGGTCACCCCTCAGTTCAAAAGAGAGATGGGCTATGGTGATTAAGATTCCACTTGAGATGCCCACGTCCCAGTCTGAGGTGCCTAGTGATTCCTGGCTTCACTTCTGATTCTAGCTCCTTACTAACATGCACCATGAGAAGTAGCGGGTGATGGCTTAGGTGGTCAGGACCCTCCCACAAAGATGGAAGACCCAGACTGAGTTCCTGGTTCCTGACCTTGGCTTGGCCCAGCCTCAGCTGTTACAGGCTGTTGGAAAGTGAACCAGAGGATAGGAGCTAGTGCTCATTCTTTCTTTCTTTTCTCTTCTCTTTCTTTCTTTTCTTTTCTTTTCTTTTATTTCTTTCTTTTCTTTCTTTCTTTTTCTTTCTCCCCCTTCCCCTTCCTCTCCCCCTCCCCCCCCCCAAACAGAAGAAGAAGAACCAGAGAAACATGAGAAGTGTTTTAGAGAGAGGGGAATAATCAGCAAAGCAGAAAGAGGAAACAAGACAACCAGCTGGATTTAGCAGCCAGGAAGACACAGATACATCTTTGGAAGGACTGGGTCCACTTTTCAATGATTCAAGTTGTGAATGAAAAAAAAAAGCACAAAAAAGAACTGAAGTATATTAAACCTGCCATCTTAGCAGGGCAAATCAAATGAGGTTGAACAAAACGGGATTTTACTTTAAGTTAAATGGTACTGTGGGTTATTTCTTAATATCTATTTAAGCAACTTCCAATCCATATAAACCTAATTGAGTCTCAAGCGTTGAACTGAGCAAGGAAATCTCTCCTCTGTTACTCACTTATTTTTAAGGAGCAGAGAGACAGAAAGTCACAGAGAGAGCACTCCCATCTCCTGGGTAACTCCCTACATGCCTGCTACAACCTGGGATCTCAATCCAGGTCTCCCACATCAGTGGCAGAAACCCAACTACTTGAGGCATCACCTGCCTCCCAGAGTCTGTGTTAGCAAGAAGTTTGACTCAGAAGCCAGAGCCGGGCATTTAATCCCAGTACTCCAATGTGGTGTCTTACCTCAGCATCTTAGCTGCTATGCTAAATACCCACCCCCTTCTGTTTTTTATTAGAAGAGAAATGTGTACTTCCAATGAAGTTTGGAAAATGACATAGTAACATCTGAATTACTCAACTCTTTACCAAAAACAAACCACCTGTAGAAAAATCTGTTTAAAAACTGAAAAGGAAAAATTTACAGAATTAATTACCTTTGAAATAAATGCCAAAATGTAACTCTGAATTCAGAAATTCTTTTATCTCTTCTTCTCCAAGTCATGTGAAGGGTCTAACTATGCAGGCTGAAAACTGCTAAGTGATAACTACATATTTTATTGTCCCATAAAAGTTCAGTATTGCTACAGTTGTTCTGCTATTTTTTTTCCTTTTCAAGTTGCTCTTTTCTGGAAACTTACAGTAATAAAAAGAAGAGATGAGCCAGTTTTATTTATTGTAACCTATCTAGACCACATTAAGGTCATATGAGTTTATGAACAAATCCAGGGGTTGTCACAGAGCTTTACCAGCAAAACCAACAATACCGTTCACAAAAATATGTCTGTCCCCTCCCAGAGAGAACATATAAACAGTAAATGACTTACTATAATGTGCTGATAAGGATCTATAAATGACATTTTGGTTTCAATTACAGGAAATCTTTCCACACTTCAAAGTTCTTCTCTGGCACTCGAGCTTCTTTAAAACCTACAAAATAAACAGTCATATTGTTAAGTTTCCTCTTGGATGCAGTTCCAACACTTAAGTGATGACAAGTAGGTACCTTGGGAAGCAAAAGAACACCCAAGGGACCAGATGGATTGCGTTCCCTAATTGTGTATATGAATGAATGTGCACATAAACGGGGAAAGAGAAACTCATTTTGATAGCACTGTTTAATTTCTATATTTATTCTGTGAGTAATTATTAGGAAACCAGGGTTTGCTTTTTCATATGCCAAGTCTTTTATGAAAAACTCATTGAAGTTACAGAAAGTCAAAAGAATTTTTTTCATTGTTTATAATTAAAAAGCCACATGTCTTTGCTTGTTTCTTCAGTTGGTCAGCATTACACAAATTCACAATAAGAAAGGATGACTTTTTTCACCTGGACTGTTTGTTAGGAATTTTAAAAATGTATTCATGTTAAATTGAAACTTTAGTACTGCCATTTTAAAGAAATATTTGTTCATTCTAAGGTGTCAGTTTAGTCTGGAAGCAGTTAAAATATTTTAATAAAAAATATTCTGTATAGCTTTTTAGCCTCACAATTATGTTACATTATTCAAATTAAAACTAGTCAATGAACATTTGTATTATTCCATCACAGACCCTTTTTAAATTTTATAAAATCACACACATATCTCAGCATCCTGTACTCGTAACTAATTTGGAACATCTTTTCAAATATCATTATTATTTGTTTAGTTGTAAATTTTAAAAATGTTTTTAGTCCAAAATAAATCAAATTTGTTTTCATTTTTAGATAATTTTTTAAACATCACCAAAACTCATTTCCTTTATCATTTATTAATGTGAAAAATGTGAAGCAATATTATAAAAGTAAAAAATCACCCACCATCCCCTATTTAAAATTTATAGAAAATGAGAATTTGTCTTGTCTTCATTCTAGCCCATCCAATCAAAATATCACCAGGGTGGAAGAGGGACCTTGCTTTTCATGTTAAAAAATTGTTTATGTTAATCAATTACTTCTTATTTTTATCTTTATCATTTTCATCAAGCTAACACTGTGTACAGCATTTTAAATAATTTTTTATCAAGATGAGGTCAAACCATCATTCTGATTTTATCAGGATAAATTACTATAATCTCTGTTTTGAATTTGTCCATTTTAAAACTCATAGAAAAGTTAATAGTAACATCAGCCAATCAGCAACTGCCTCAGTCCTACAAGTGGACAATCTGCTCCTCCAAAACCCATGCTGGAGTTCAACCGTCAGTGTCACAGTGCTAGGAGCTGCGGCCTTTCAGAGAGGGAGAAGGCCAGGAGAGCTCCACCCTCAGGCGTGGGGCTAATGACTTAAGGAAAGCACTCGAGGAAGTGGGGTCTTCCCCCAGACCCTCTCACTGCCTTCTGCCGAGTGAGGATCCAGCCTTCTCTCCTCTGAAGGGCACACGGCTTGACCTCTGAGCATCTCAGCCTGAGAGCAGTAGAACTTGCTGTGGTGAAAGTCTCCAGTCAGAAAGGAAACTTGAAACCTCCTCCCCTGTACAAATGTATGTTTAGTGAGTTTCTACTCCTTTGGTGGGAAGTCTGAAATCCTTTAACGTGGTCTACAACTATGGCTTTCACATCTATTTACTGCAAACCAAAGCAGGAAGACCTTCATATTTCACAATGTAATAGGAAGACACTTACACACATGTGCAGAAATAAAATATGGACGAGCATTGGATGTGAAACTCTTATAAGAACAATGTACCCAATTTGTGTTCTATTTCATTTGTTTAAACAGTGGTAGTAGCTCACTGAACTGACTTCACCACTCACTAACGTCCTTTAAAAACTACAAAGACTTCAAAGTTGGATCTCATCCCTTTCTCCAGCCCCACGGCTCCCATGCTACAGCCACAGCGGATTTTCTTTTTTTCCTCCAAATGCGCCAGGCTCCATCCGACTCAGGGCTGTAGCCCAACTCTTCCATTCATCCATGTATTCAGCAAACATTTAAGCCCTAACTCTCACTGCCAAGCATTGTTTCAGGAACTGGAGAGGCAGAAGCGATGAATTAGCATCCCCTTCCATCCTGGAGCTTGCATTTCTAGAGGGTAGTCACAAAACAAGTAATCCAAGAACAAAGAACTAGAGAGTCACAAAATGATGGAAACAACAAAGAATAACCTAAATCTGGGCTCTAGAAAGCCACAGAGGGAAAGCAGGGATATGGTTAGGGGTGCTGGAGCACCAAGTTCTGGGCAGGCAGTTTGAAGAAGTGAAAGAAGACATGTGGCTGGTGAATGATGACCAAAAGTAAGCTTATGATGAGGTTGGAAGCATAGGCAGGGGCAGGCCTTGGAGGGCCTTGGAGGCAACCACTGTTCACCTTGCTACATCAGCCTATTCATGAGTTGGCTTAAATCCAAACTGAAGTGCTCTCCATTTCAGAGTGTGTTCTGGGCACCTGTTCCAGATCTCCTCTGTACCCTGGACTCCTGCTTCAAGCCTGTGTTCCACTTTCACAAGTCACCTTTTCTCAAAGATCCAAGGATGCATAAGGTCAGGGACCCAACTCATCTCGTCGATAGAGTTCACAGTGCACAGCACCTGCCTAAACTATCTTAAGATCGGGATAAAATTCTGTGCTGTGTGTGGGTACACGGATGGTATTCTCAAGGCAAGGCCAGGTTATGCAAGAAGGGAATTTACAGCATAATCTTTTCATTCTTAACTATCCTGAAGGTCAAAGGATATTAACTATCAATCTCTACTATTAAGGAAAAAAAAAAGCAGAACAAGTGAAGTTCCAATGGGGTGGGATTAAGTCTGAAAACACTTCAAGGAAATCAGTTGCTAGGGCCCAAAGTTTGTTGTCAGCAACTTCAGTCCTTCTGCTCACTCCTGGCCATTCCATTATAACCACCTGTTGACCACCTAAGTAACTGGACTTCACTGTAACCTAAAGCCAGACTTGGAGGGAAACCGCTCTGATATGAAAACCCAAGGTGAGAATATGCTAAGATATTTCTGATGTGACTTTCCAGGTCTGACTCTGTGTGTGTGTGTGCGCGCACCAGGTTATTAGGTACAAGATAGCTAGATACTAAACAAACATGACTCATGGCATTTAATCTTTTAGTCATTCTTTTGTTCTTTAATGCCATGCAGCGCTAACTCTTCTCCTGCCTCGGAACTTCTCTGCTAACTCTTGGATCTCATTTAAGAAAAAAACAGACTTTGGAGCTGGACACACCAGCTGCACTTAGCATTGCAGTCTCTCTTCTCCCCAGGCTGGAGCCAGCTGCAGGCAGGGCAGGGTGAGCTCATAGACTTCCTCCCTCGTCTCTGCCCAGTCTAACCCTTCCAAGCGCGATAAATCCGGTTTTTCGCTGCTCATCGTTGGAGAACAGGAAGGGAAAGAGATTCAGGGTCCAAGAAAGTAATCACTTCCAGGCACTGCTTTAAGTTGGCTTAGTTTTCTCCAGTACATGTTAGAGTTCTTCTTGTATGGATTCTTCTGAGACAACCTACGGTTGAGATCTCTTCCTTGTGTGCCCTGACTTATGCAAACTCAGCTTTGCTCTAGCTGGGGACTTGTGTTTTCTTTGACATCCCCAATGCATCTCATGGTCCACTTCCAGGATTCTTTTTCTGAGGTCCTTTCACTCCACTGTGTATCTTGAGTAGGACTTAGGACTCCTTTCCAGCATTCTCCTGAGTCTATGGAGAATACTCATGTTTTCCTTCTCCCAGCAGACTCTGAGAATGCAATTCTTTCCAAAATGAAACTCTCTATCTACTACATGTGTCTCTTTACAATTCTCAAGCAAAACCAGACATCAGCGGACCCTAGCAGACACACATTGAATCCTGATGAGCTGTGGGCAGTCTCCTTAAAGGCCCTTCTTTCAAATGGGAGGTTAGCAGGTGCATTCCTCCCTACATTTCTCCCCAAGGGCAGAGGGATTGTACTCACTGTAGAGCTCTCCAGAACAAATAAACAACATTCAAAAACTCTTCCAAAGTTCTCCCTCGCTATCTACTACCTCAGTCCTTTAATATTTGTGAAGTTGTCAAGTTTTAGATTCATATAATTTTCTAGTTCATCTGCTCATTACAAAATATAAAGGGTAGGCTGCTTCACAGTGCATTATAGTATTTTATATATTTAGAGTGTTGGACCAACTTCCAAAATGGCAGAGCAGGGGACCTGGAAAATCTTCTCTCCAAAAAGCACTGAAGAAACCAGGAAGAATTATCACAAACTACTAACACTGGAGACCGACCAGGGGACATACAACAAATGGAAAGCATCTATTTCTTTAAATCTATTAAATCTCAACAGCAATCGGAATCTGGGGGTTACTCCCACCCTGTTCTAATTCCACAGCTCAGACACTCTAACACGAAGGCAGGTCAGCCTAAGAATTCGTAGCTCAGTCCCTTTGTTGGTGGTACTGGGGTGGGGGTGTGGGGCAGGGAGGACGGAACTGTATTTGGAGCAGGCATAGACAACTCCATGTCCAGAGTATTGTCCAAAACACAGGAGAACACTTATTCTGTAGAGCTGAAAATAAAGTGAACGGACATCTTTAACAAACAAACAAACAAACAAGACCACAGAGATCACAGCACCAAATAATCAGGGAAGTCTAACGCTGTCTGGTTGGGACCAGCAACAGAACAGGAGATCGGCCAGCAATGTAACACGGAGCTCCGAAGAGAGAGACGAGCTAAGAGAGCCTTGCTGAGACCCAACTTATCCCTAGACAGCTAGAAAGCTGTGCGCATGCAAGCAAACAAATACAAGGTCTGGGGAACACAGAAAATGAAAACAGCACGGGAAAGTCAAACTCCCTGAACTCCAAAGCATTCCCTAAGCCTCAGCCAGATCAAATGGCAGAGGAAAATGCATACTCACTCAAGATGTTTAAGCCGGTCTTCAGCCACTCAGTGACTGACAGCTAAGCTGTACTGACCTGGAGGGGACCTTAAGAAAGCAGACCTAAAAACAAAAACAAAACAAGAATTAGGGGACAACCTCTAGGCTCAGCAGTAAAGATGCTGCTCAGGACATCACATGTTGGACTGCCGGGGTTCAAGTCCAGACTCCATTTCTTTTTTTTTTTTTTTTAAGATTTATTTATTTATTTGAAAAGCAGAGTTAAAGAGGCAGAGGCAGAGAGAGCGAGAGCATGAACAAGAGGCCTTCCATCCACTTGTTCACTCCCCAAATGGTTGCAAAGGCTGGAACTGGGCCCATCTGAAGCCTGGAGCCTGGAGCTCATTCCAGTTCTCCCATGGGAATGCAGGGGCCCAAGCACTTCGGTCATCTCCACCACCTTCCCAGGCACATTGTCAGGGAGCTGGATCAGAAGTGAAACAGCCAGGACTCCAACCAGCGCCTAACTGGGATACCGGCGCAGCAGGCAGCGGCTTTATCCACTACACCACAGCGCCAGCCCCGGAACTCCACTTCTGATTCCTGCTTCCTGCTAATGTGCACCTAGGGAGGCAGCACGTGACGGCCCAAGTACTTGAGTCTCTGACACCCACGTGGGACACCTGGATGGAGTTTCTGGCTCCTGGCTTCAGCCTCGCCAAGCCTCAGCTATTGTGAGCATTTGGGGAGTGAACCAGCAAACAGAAGATCTCTGCCTGATTGTCTCTCTCTGAGCTTTTGAATAAATATTATAACATAAATTTTTAGATAAAAGTAAGAACCTTTTCTTTTTTTTTTTGGACAGGCAGAGTGGACAGTGAGAGAGAGAGACAGACAGACAGAAAGGTCTTCCTTTACCGTTGGTTCACCCTCCAATGGCCACTGTGGCCGGCATGCTGCAGCCGCACACCCCGCTGATCCGAAGCCAGGAGCCAGGTGCTTCTCCTGGTCTCCCATGGGGTTCAGGGCCCAAGCACTTGGGCCATCCTCCACTGCACTCCCGGGCCACAGCAGAGAGCTGGCCTGGAAGAGGGGCAACCAGGGCAGAATCCGGTGCCCCGACTGGGACTGGAACCCGGTGTGCTGGTGCCGCAGGCGGAGTATTAGCCTATTGAGCCATGGCGCTGGCCAGTAAGAAGTAAGAACCTTTCAAAAAAATATTTATTTTATTTATTTGAAAAAGTTACAGAGAGAGGTAGAGACAGAGAGAGAGAGAGAAAGAGGTCTTCCACCCGCTGGTTCACTCCCCAGATGGCCGCAATGGCCAGAGCTGAGCTGATCTGAAGCCAGGAGCTTCTTCTGGGTCTCTCACATGGGTGCATGGATCCAAGGACTTGGGCCATCTTCTACTGCTATCCCAGGCCATAGCAGAGAGCTGGATATGAAGTGGAGCAGCTGGAATGCGAACCAGAGACCATACAGGATGCCAGTGCTGCAGGCCAGGGCTTTAACCCACTGTGCCACAGTGCCGGCTCCAAAAATAAGAACTTTAAAAGAGGGAAATTGAGCAAATATATCAGAAACTGAGCACTTTAAAAGAGTCCTTAGAACAAGCTGAGGAAGTTACTAAAACAGACAAACTGAACAGGAATCTTTCCAGGGAAAGGATCGAAATCCAAAGCTACCACAACATAATCTACAGCATAATCTACAAGTTAAGATATCACTTAAAATTTACAATTTTTATTTTTTTAAAGAATTATTTATTTATTTGAAAGAGTTACAGAGAGGACGGACAGAGATCTTCCATTGGCTGGTTCACTCCCCAGAAGGCTGCAATGGCCAGAACTGGGACAGGCCAAAGCCAGGAGCTTCTTCCAGGTCTCCCATGTGAGTAGCAGGGGCCCAAGCACTAGGGCCATCTTTTGCTGCTTTTAACAGACCATTAACAGGGAGCTGGATCAGAAGCAGATGAACCGAGACACAAACCAGCATCTATATGGGATGCTGGCATTGCAGGTAGAGGCCTAACCTACTACGCCAATTTACAACTTTTGAAAACAGCAGGGGCCGGTGCTGTGGCATAACGGGTAAAGCCACTACCTGCAGCACCAGCATCCCATATGGCTGCTGGTTCTATTCCCAGCTGCTACACTTCCAATCCAGCTCTCTGCTATGGCCTGGGATAGCAGTAGAAGATGGCCCAAGTCCTTGGGCCCCTGCGCCCAAGTGGGAGACCCAGAAGAAGCTCCTGGCTCCTGGCTTCTGATCAGCATAGCTCTGGCCATTGCAGCCATCTGGGGAGTGAACCGGTGGATGGAAGACCTCTCTGTGTCTCTGTCTCTGCCTCTATGTAACTGTGCCTTCAAAAAAAAAATATTTAAAAACAGCAACAATAACAGGAAAGGATGAGCCACACACAGGGAAACACAGTTAATACTGACTGTCTCTGGGGAACTGAGATGACAAATGTTTCACAGCATCTGATACACACATGTCAGAAAACCTAAAGTAAACCATGCTTAGAAAACTAAAAGAAATATAAAGAATACCAACAAACAGATACAGACATTAGGAAAGAAAGAACCAAATGGAAACTCTGGAGTTAAAAATGCAATAACTGAAATTTAGAATTTACAAGAGGGAACCTGAGTTAAACTGACAGAATCACTGAAGTTAAACATATAAAACATATAAAAATGGAAATTAATTAATTAATGGAACTCAACGAAAAAACCCAAACATTCCAAGTGGGATATACATAAAACAATCCGCACATGGACATAACATAACCAATCTTTGGATAGTCAATGAGAAAAAGAAGGGGCCAGTGTTGCGGCACAGCAAGCAAAGCCACCACTTGCAACACTGGCATCCCATAATGAGCACCTGTGTTTAAGTCCTAGCTGTTCCACTTCTGAGCCAGCTCCCTGCGGATGGCCTCGGGAAAGCAGCGGAAGATGGCCCACGTGTCTGGGCCCCTGCCACCCATGTGGGAGACCTGGGTGAAGCTGCTTTGGCCTGGCCCAGTGCTGGCCATTTTGGCCATCTGGGGAGTGAACCAGCAGATGGAAGATCTCTTTCTGTCTCTCCCTCTCTGTCTCTGTCTGAAACTCTGACTTTCAAATCAATAAAAAAAATATTTTAAAAAGAGAGGAAAATTTTGGAGCAGCAAAAGGAAAATGGCTCTTCAAATACAAAGCAATCAAAATAACTTTAACAGATGACTTCTCAACAGAGCCAATGGAGACCTGAAGGCAGTGGGATGACACATTCAAAGTGTTCAGAAAACAAAAATGTAACCCAAGAACACTAGATCAGCAAAACCACCCTTCAGAACTGAAGGAGAAACACATTCCCACACCAATAAAAAACAGGGAATCTATTGCTAGGACACGAGCATTACAAAAATTAGTAAACAAATTCTTCGTGCTGAAAGAAGTGCCATTAGACAGTAATTCAAATCCACACAGAGACAGAGGGTACCAGCAGCATTAAGAATATGGACAACCGTAAAAGATAGGAAAAACATTTTTCTATTCTCAACTTCAGTTTCATATATACACACACCACACACATATATACATATATGAAATATATTGAATTTAAATATATATGAAAGTTAATATATAAAATAAGATAAAAAAGGAAAAGAGAGAACTACATTAGACCCAGGAAATGATACCAGATAGTCACTGACTGAATCCATAGAAAGAAATGAAGACTACCAGAAACAGCAAACACGTAGGTTAACCTAAAATATCCTATAGTTTTTCCTCTTCTCTTAAATTCTCTAAAAGACACAGAATCTATAAAGTAATGATATACAACACTATATGATTGGGTTTATAACGCGTGTGATCTATATAGCAACAACAGTACAAAGGAATGAGGAGCGGATGCAAATCCATGCAAAGTTTCTCTATTTTACAGGCATCGTTACCCATACCAAGTAGATTATAACAAATTAAGGTGCATATCTCCTTACAGAGCAGCCACTAAGAAAGCAACTCAAAAATACAGTTAAAATATCAAAAAAGGAACTTAAACAAACCACCAGAAATCACCTTCCTAATTCAAGAAACGAAAGAAAAGAAATGAGACGTAGAAAACAGAGAACAAGATGGCAGATGGCAGTGCAGCCATGTCTCTAATAACATTAAATACGACAGGACGGGGTGGACATTCAGCACGGCAGTGAAGACACCGCTTGGGACACCGGCATCCCCTGTCAGCGCCTGGGTTTGAGTTCCAGCTCTCTTCCCACTAGGGCACAACGTGGAAGGCAGTGATGGCTCAGACACTTGGTACCTGCTATCCATGGGGGATGCCTGGATTGTCTGGGGCTTCTGGCTTCAACCTAAGCATGATCCAGCTGCTACGGGTATTTAGGGAGTAATTTTTGTCTTTCCGACTCTCTCTCTGTCCTTCTTTCAAATGAATAAAAAAGTTTTAAATGTGAGTGGATTTAACCCTCCAATGACATAGTTGTCAGCCTGGATTAAATCTCCCGCATCAAAAACTGTGGAAAAATCCAGATAAGATCTGTAGTTTACTTAGTAGCATTATACCAAGGTCAGTTTCCTGGTTTTGATAATGTACTTTGGTTATGTAAGATTTTATGTTGGAGAAAGCTAAAAGAAGCATATATGAGAACTCTGTGTAATGCTTTTCACACAATCTATTAAATTCTTTTAAAATTAAAAAGATTTTTTAGGGCCAGCATTGAGGCATAGCAGATAAAGTCACCATCTGCAACACCAGCGTCCCATATGGGCTATTGTTCATGTCCTGGCTGCTCCTCTTCAGACCCAGCTCCCCGCTAACAGCCTGGAAAAGCAGCAGCAGATGGCCAAAGTGCTTGGGCCCCACACCCAAGCTCCTGGCTCCTGGCTGCAATCTGACCCAGTGCTGAAGTTGGGGGCCATCTGGGGAACGAAGGAGGGGATGAAGATCGGTCTCTCCCTCTCCTTCCTCTTTTCTCTCTGTAACTCTTTCAAATAAATACTTTTTTTTTTGAAAGGCAGAGCTAGAGAGAGAGAGAGAGAGAGAGATCTTCCATCCACTGGTTCACTCTCCAAATGGCCACAAAGGCCAGAGCTGAGCCAGACGGAAGGCAGAAG